ACTGGCGGGGGATGGGAGGGTAGGGAAGAAGGGGGTGATGGAGTTAGGGGCGCAGTGTGGTCCTGGGTGACTGGCCACGTCCCACTCTGCCTTCCACATGACCCTCATCCCCTGCCCTGCAGGGCACCCTGCAGAAGTTCGTGGACGACACCTTCCAGGCCATCCTCAGTGTGAACCGGCCAGTGCCCATCGCCATCAAGTACCTGTTTGACTTCCTGGATGAGCTGGCTGAGAAGCATGGCATCGAGGACCCTGAGACCCTGCACATCTGGAAGACAAACAGGTAGCTTTCCCACGCTCGCCATGTGCGTGTCCCTCCCAGTCACAGAGGGACAAGGGCATTTCTAGGGCATGAAACCCAGCTTTGAAGCTTCCACCCTAGGTATGTGCACTGACCTCCCCTGCCAGCCTGAGCGCATAGGGAAGTTGATGGCGCAGCTCACTGGGCCATGAGAACAGAGCATGGGCCTCAGCTGTCCACGTCCCAGCTCTAGCACCTACGCACCCCGTAAAGAGAGCGAGCGAGGCTGGAGAAGCTGAGGATGGGGTGGGGGTGGGGACAGGAACGAGCCACGCCTCATCTCCACCCTCCACGTGCGTCCCTAGCCTGTTGCTGCGGTTCTGGGTGAGCACGCTGAGGAACCCACAGCTCATCTTTGATGTGCGAGTGCCTGACAATGTGGACGCCATCTTGGCTGTCATCGCGCAGACCTTCATTGATTCCTGCACAGTCTCAGAACATAAAGTGGGCCGGGTGAGGACCGAGCCAGTGGTGCTGGAGGAGAACAAGGAGAAAAAGCTTGTGGGGGAACCCCCGGGGCCTCTGTGCAGAGTGGGGGCGGGGGGGGTGACAGGATGGCATCATGGGCTAGCAGGTGGGGACGCTGGTCACCTTGTGCCTCCTTTACCTGGAGCAGGATTCCCCGGTGAATAAACTGCTCTACGCCCGGGAGATCCCTCGCTACAAGCAGATGGTGGAGAAGTAGGTGTGAGAAGCATCAGGGCTGGGGGGGGCGGGGCTGAGGTGCCCTCCCCTAACTCTTCCAGCTCCTCTAGATACTATGCGGACATTCGCCAGAGCTCTCCCGCCAGCTACCAGGAGATGAACTCTGTTCTGGCTGAGCTCTCAGGGGTGAGATGTAGCCCAGGGTGTGCAGCCCTCTATACTTAATGGGGCGACTGACAGGATGGGGGGGGGTCAGGGGGAAAAGGGCTTGTGGCTTGAGGCCCAGCTAGGTAGATCCTCACAGCCCCTCCCCATGTTGTTGCCAGAACTACACCTCTGCCTCTCACTGTCTGGAGACTCTGCAGGAACTCTACAACCACATCCATAGGTATTATGACCAGGTGAGGCCCAGGACCCGCTGGAGGGGTGGGGTAAGGCACTTGGAATAAGGTAAGCCAAGGTAGAGGCCTCACAACTTCCCTAGGGGTGGCCCAACCCAGGCAGAGACCAGCCTGTTGGGGAGTGGCCTTCTGGGGAAGATCGAGGCAGTACTGGATGGCCCTGGGCCTCTACTGCCTTGGCAGATCATTAGTGCCCTAGAAGAGGACCCCGTGGCCCAGAAGATGCAGCTGGCCTGCCGCCTACAGCAAATTGCTGCCCTGGTAGAGAACAAAGTGACTGACTTGTGAGTTTGGCTCACAGCAGCGTGGAGACTACTAGCAAGCAGGACCCAGCACTGGCAGTGTCTCATGACCCCGGGGCCCCGCCAGTGACCAAGGAGGGGCTGGCAAAGTCTGGGTGTGATATGGTGCCCGCCATCTACCATTCCCCCGCTTATTTCTAATTTATACCAATCCTTACCCCCTCTCCCACTGTATTTATTTGCTTGCTGGAGAATCACATCTGGGAATAAAATACAAACACATCTTTTTAGAAAAAAGCTCAATCTGTAGTCCCTGCCTTCCCCTGCAAGATTCAACTTGAAAGCCTGCGCAAAGCCCTGAGTTTGATCTCCACTAATGTGAGACAGACAGAGACAGAGACAG